GCCTTTCTCTCCGCTAAGTATTTTGATTTCAACGATGCGTTGTTTCCAAGAAAAATTTTCATAACTTTATGGTTTCCTCAAATAATTTATTGAATCAATCCGGACCTGCTGGTCAATAACTCCGAGCTGAATGTAAACAGCAATAACCACCGAAAACACAATGGGTTAAATTTAATTGTCGCTCACACATTTTAACTATCGCATTCACAACGGTTGTAATTTTCATTGTTCAATGTTAAGGTCGCAGGTTCGAGCAAATTATCGTTGCCAATATGCACATGAGCCTATTTTATTTGTTGCTATTGTTGCTAAAGTTACTTTAACGAAAACTGGGCACCAAATTAAAACCAATTAGCGCTAAAGTTGAGTTGATTCAGCGCGTTATCAGATTACGATCGTCTGCTAAGACGGATTGCTGACAATGCGCATTGTTTAAATGGCTATTTCGAGGCCTGTAATCAGATATGGTTAAATTGAGGAAAAAATGTGATTATTGTATAAGTCTGGCATTGATTTATCGGAATTACAGTGGCGGTTGCAGATTTCACCGAAGAAAACTTCCCGCTCGACTTCGGAGATAATTTTTCTGTGGGTCATCAGTTAACATTATTTCATTTCCTACTTGCATGTAAATATTATGAGAAAATCAAAGATTGTTGTAAATGCTGCAGACTAAACAAAGAAGCAAAAATAGGAATAAAAGAGGTATTTTGTTGTCGCGACCACTGCTCGCTTCCCCAAGTGTGCACCCAACTAAACAGGCAGCCAGAGACAGATCTTCACTGGTTCTTCACGTTGTATATCTCCTGATGGATTTATTAGCCAGGAAATTTTGGACCCTTAGGAAAACAAATATTGAGAAACTGCAATTTACAGCTCGAAAACTGAATTTGTCGATGAAACTGGATTGCTATTGTTCTAGTTTGCTACAGTGTCAGCCTCAATTTCGACTTCTTGAGCCTCAATTATAGCAACTGCTGTAGGTAAACCGTGTTGACCCAACTGCAGGCTTTCTCATGAAAATTTTACCAATCTGCAGAACCTAGAAACTGCTCTGTTGCCGTCAAAATTCTATACAAAATGCTGCTTAGAAGCCTTTACATAAATCTGAAAGTGACTTCGAGACATCAGATTGGCTTTAAAAGACTAAACTCTAAACCAAAACCGAACATCAGAAGATGATATTGCAGAGGATAACGAGATATTGAAGAAATTTTCTCAAAATATCATTCTACAAACCGCCTTGTAAATCCTATATAATTTTTCAATAAACAATGTTGCCATGTGCAATAAACAAGACCCTTGGAATTTTCCTTTTCCGATTATGTGAAGCTTGTTCTCCTCTGTAAGGCATCAATTTATTTAAAACTCTATTCAGTCTGTTGTCTATTAACGAAGTCAAATTTAAATGAATTTTGAAAAACGTTGCAAACCCAAAAGCACATCTGAAGAGGTAGGAATTTTCAAAAATTCTCTAAAAGAGGCCATGGAAATCAGTTGCAACCTACAAAATCTACCATAAATTATTCGCCACTATAAAGTTCAACAAGCTTCTTGAATAATGATGATACTTGATGGTTCAAGAATATGCTGGCACGTATTTATTGTATGATCAAGCGTTAAGTAACGCTTGGAGAGTCAACGTGGAAAAGACTGACAACAACCCAATAGAATCTTTAAAAAATGCATGTTTTGCAAGGTTTTGAGTGTGACTGAGTGCGGTTTGGTGTGGCACAACTTTCTATGGAATATTTCAAAGCTTTCCATACAAAATTCGAAAACAAGCAGAAAGTTTAGACATAAGGGAACATTAGGGTCTATCTATGTAAATGGTCCAATAGTAAAAAACCCTGGCTTCTTCATCTGAAAATATCCCTGGAATCTACTTACTTTTATGTGATTTTCCGACTTTTTTAAAATATTTTTTCAATGTTAGTTTTAAGGTTGGTTAGATTTTACATTAAATTTAGCGAAATACGTATGAAATTTTTGACTACAAACATTATCACAAGCGCATCTGGAGAAAGCGAAGAGAAAATAAGTTCAGTGCTTTTGCACGATCTTCGGAAGCATCCAAACAAACACAGAGACACACACAAGACGAAGATGAATTAAAAAAGCATAAAATAGGACAAAGTGAGTATAATATATAATAATAATAATAGTAAGTATAATAAATCAGCAACAAGAAACTGAGTAAAAATGAACAGACGGAATTTTCAACAAGCAATTTTCTACTTCACAATCCAAACATTCCTGATATTTTCTGCGAGCCGCCCTGGATCGGGTCTGTTTTTAAGTAATACAATTATTTACTCATTTTATCTGATTGCTTTAAATATATTTTTCAATGTTTTTTTTTTAGTTTTCATATGACATTTAGCGAAATACTTACCAAACTTTTTTTACAAACGCATCTGAAGAAAGCGAAAAGAAAACGAGTTCAGTGCTTTTGCACGATCTTTGAAAGCTTGCAAACAAACACAGAGACCAAGAGGAAGACGAATTAAAAAACTTAAAACAGGACAAAGTGAGAAACTAAATCAGCAACAAGAAACTGAGTAAAAATCAACAGACGGAGTTTTCAACAACCGATTTTCCACTTCACACTCCAAACATTCTTGATATTTTCCGCGAACTGCTCTGGATCGGGTCTATTTTTAAGTACTTAAGTAACAAAATTATTTACTCATTTTATCTGATTGTTTTAAATATATTTTTCAATGTTTTTTTTAGTTTTCATATTACATTTAGCGAAAGACTTGCAAAACTTTTTTTACAAACATTATTACAAACTCATCTGAAGAAAGCGAAAAGAAAGTGAGTTCAGTTTTTGCACGATCTTCGGAAGCATCCAAATAAACACAGAGACCAAGACGAGGATGAATTAAAAAAGCATAAAACAGGACAAAGTCAAGAACTAAATCAGCAACAAGAAACTGAGTAAAAATCAACAGCCGGAGTTCTCAACAAGTAATTTTCCATTTCACAATCCAAACCTTCTTGATACTTTCTGCGAGCTGCTCTCGATCTGGCCTGTTTCTATATTTAATGCAATTATTTTCTCATTTTATCTGATTGCTTTAAACATATTTTTCAACGTTTTTATATTAAATTTAGCGAAGTTTACCAAACTTTTGTTTACAAACATTATTACAAGCGCATCTGAAGAAAGGGAAAAGAAAATAAGTTCAGTGCTTTTGCACGATCTTCAGAAGCATTCGAACAAACACAAAGACCAAGACGCAGATAAAATAAAAAAGCATAAAACAGGACAAAGTGAGGAACTAAATCAGCAACAACAAACTGAGTAAAAATCAATAGACGGAGTTCACAAAAAGCATTTCCTCTTCAGAATCCGAACATTTCACTTGTTTGGGGTAGTTGGAGTATAATGCAAATATAGACAAAAACTGTTACAAATTATATATAATTATAATGCTAATGTTTTCATTAAAGCGTTATCTGAGACAAAAAAAACAAAAAAAATTGGTGCGAGACAGGAAAATATCTGCTTAGAAAAGAAAAAACTAGTCTCCATTCGCTTTGCATTCAGATGGATTAAGGTAAATTGCATGGCACATAATTACATTCGTAATGGAAATGATGCAATATGTCCATTTTTTGCCTTGTTTAGCTATTTTTTTTCGAGCACTTACACTTGAATTTGCATACATTATCTTGTCGCACTTTTGAATTTTGCAAATAAATGAACTTGTAACCAGATATACTTATAAAAATTACATATTTCATTATAGAGGCTAAAAAACCAATTTTTTCTGGGTTAAACCCTGGTGTAAACATGGTCTGTGAATGTCCGCGTCTTGAGAGGCGTGATATTAAACCAGATCAAGATTTAATCCCCGCTGGCTTGCCAATCTGGACGTTTGAAAAGATTTAAAGTGGAAAAGAAAAAAAAGAAAAAAAACTTTAGGTGCATGTATTGGTATATGTTCAGAAAATAAAACAGGACGAATTTATTGGGTCATTAGCAAACCAGAGGACTTCCAAGAGAATTCAATTTTTCCAATCAATGACGCAGAAAATTGTTGCTTATGCCGGACATGGAAAAATAATTTGTTCCAGTTATGAATCTTTTTTATTTAAATGCTTAAAAGTGTTATTAAACAGAAGTGCCCCAATTTTCCAAGTACATCAATCCAGTATCCAAATAAATCGATTAAGCGGTGAGGCCGCCAAGATCCCCAGAACTAAAGCCATTTGATTTTTTTCCTTGTATTTTACTGGTCATTTGGGCAAGTGCAAATTGGCCGCAAATGTATTCAACATTGATGGGTTTGCCAAAAGAAACAGTTAATTAAGTGGTTTTCAAAGTGTGAATATCCCCAGGAAGTCAACTGAAGTGACTTTAAAACTGTTAAAAAACAATACAATGGCGACATTCCGCATTGATAATGTGTGAAACAATGGTGCGACTAATAATCAGTCAATAAACATTTACATGTGCTAATTACCTAAAGATAAATTTAAAACCTTAATAAGCAGTTTTAATTAAACCTTTACGAACTGGCCAATCACCAAAGAGGTTTATTAAGGATGACCATAACTATGTGCAAAGCATATGTCTAATAAGCGGATTTTCTATGTTAAAGCCTGATTTGAGACAGCAAATAAATCAATTGAATATTTTGAGAACAGAGTCCCAAAGCTAAGGATAGAAGTGAAAAAAATCCTTCAGGTATGCTCAGTCTTCGCTTGCATAAAATCCAAAATGCTGGGACCAAATTTAGTAAAAAATCACAACTAATTACGCTTCACTAGTCTATTTCCCAATTGGGCAAATAAAAAACAATAAAATCGGCATTTTCGTTCGTTATCGCGTGCCTAATTAACTCAACTGAACGATTTCATCGCGGTCTTTTCAAAGTAAATAACGTTCTTAAATTCTGTTTAGTTTTTCCGAAAATACACCTAATTTTCTCTTGCCTGCAAGCACCCAATAAATAAATAAATAAATAGAAAAAGTGTGCTTTGCTTACCCTCGGCTGGTGCTATTGAAAGATTATTAACAGGACACCCTCAGGATGCTCGTTTGTTATTCTAATTAGCCAGAGAAAGTAGCATGTTACTGTAAATCACTTCGGTTTCGTTCTTCGAATACAAACTAAATTATTTTGAGCACTTTTTCCGAAATTTTTCGCCAGCCACTTTCACACCCAATCGGAGATTCGCACTGAAAATCTGGGGAAGTCCCGAATAATCACCAAGGAATTGCTGAAGAGCACGCACCGGAAGCGCAAATGGTGTTGGCCACTTCGGGGGAAAATCCCGACTTTTTTCTTCGGATAAACAAAACTAGAATTGAAAACTGATGTACGAACAGAAGGTGCGTTTTACGGAGCGAAATCTATAAGAAGACTGGCGCTTAAGAACGGCATGTTCAGAGCTGATCGTAAGGAGCGCGAAACGATACTGTTTATATCGCGACTGTTGAGGTTCAGCTCCAAGAAGTTTTCGAGTAAGTCCCTACTACCAGAACGAACAGGGATGTTTCTGGGTCTTTTCCACATTCCTGCAGTGTTTTACTGGGCTTTTTGCATCGGAACTCCTAAACTAGGTTGCTGCTCATTGGTTAAAAACATCTGAAAAAGGTTTTTTGGGCAAATCTGCAAGAATTCAAGACAGCGTGGATATCGAATCTAACGAATCTATTTGCTTAAAAACGTTTTATGGTTAATATGTAGTTTTCATTTAGTATTTTTTCGGATGATTTGGCATTTTAAGCATGTTGTTGGCTGAATGTTTATTAATATCAGCTATTTCTGTAACGTTTTCGATCAAATACCAATTGAAAACGTTTTTTCTCAAACCTCGAGTTATCGTTTGTAGAAAAACGTTGCATTAATGTTTCAAGCCTTTAAAGTCAAGAAACATTTTAAAACGGTACTCTCAAAACGTTTTGCTCTTATTTGGCAGACGTTACTGCAAACGTTGCAGTAACGTCGCAAATGTGTAAACATTTTTTGCAGGCAAAAATTTTTTTGATCAATTTTTTTCCGGATGATTCGAGATGTTTTTGGCTGAATTTTTATTAACATTCGCCGCATAGCCCAAAAACGTTGCATTAATGTTTCAAGTCTTTAAATTCAAGGAACATTTTAAAACGTTACTTCCAAAACGTTTTGCTCTTATTAAAATGCTTCGCTTGGAACGATAGGTGGAATGTTGACTGCGACTATAAATATTTTTTTCAAAAGTGTGCATTAAATTCCGTAAAATGACATGTAAATACAAAAAAATTAATTGGCTTCATAAGCACCCTAGAAAATATGAAGTAATTGGAAACGCTTTTTACACAAGCGTTGCATTAATGTTTCTATTATGCAAACATTTTTTGAGTTGCTTTAATTGAAAATATTCCTAGGACTCTTCAAAACAGCGCTTTCCTCAAATAATTGAACATCCTTACACAATGTTGCATTTAAAAAACATGCATTTTGCCAAATCAGTGATTATATTTGGGTTAACTTAAAGAAACTTAATGTAAGGAACCAAGCAGGTATATTTAGAGTTTTAGGCAACAATTTTTGAACACTATTTTTGTTTGAAATCAATGTATCCTACTTAAGCATATTTTTTTGCAAAAAATTTGCCATTTTGGTTTTATACAAATGTAACAGTAACGTCGCAAATGTGTAAACATTTGTAGCAAACTGAAAACGTTTCTTGGTAGGCTTTACTTCATCTTCAGTGCAATTGTATTTAAACAATTGAAAATATTTTAAATGTTTATCGAATATTTACCTTATTTTTATATACATTTTGAAATATTTTCCTTTATTACTAAAACGTTGTTTATGTAAAAGATTTTTTAAAGGTTGTATGTAAACATAAATTTTTTCGATTATTTTTTACCATGGAGAAATTTGAGTAACTTAGTAAAAGTTCATAAAATATATTTGCTTCGTCGAAATCTTACTAAATATTTCAAGGATTTGAATAAAAAGCAGAAAATTTTTCTTGGCAGGCAGGTTTTATTAACGTTTTAAAAAATTTTGCTTCATCTTCAAAGTGCAATTGTATTTAAACAATTCAAAATATTTTAAATTCTAACCAAATATTTACATTATTGTTTACAAACATTTTGTAATTTTTTCACTTTATTACAAAAATGTTGTGTATGCCAAAGATTTTACTACTGCAGCTTCAGAAATGTTACAAAATGTTAGTAGAAGAACGTTATGAAGAAGCTTTATAGAAACGTTACTTTTGAAGATTTTTGTAAACGTTTTTACTCAAACGTTGCATTAATGTTCAAAGTGCGTAATTTTTGTTTTGTAAAGTTTTGCAATTGTTGAAATCATTGTTAGATATTTAACTATTAAAATTTTCATTTTTTTGTTGAAAAGGAATTTAAAAACTAGTCTAAACGAGTCTAAAATAAATATTTACCAGTAATTTAAAGTTGTATTTATCATACCAACTCTTCATTTGGAGGAAATGGGGCAAGCAAACGTCAAAAAACCGCAATTATTGGCAAACTAATAAAAATATTAAATAAACAATAACATTTTATATTGCTATTTGCCAAAAATTCGATGTTTTTTGATGCTTTGCAGTTGTTTACGAATTAATTTTTTATTTTCGTCAATTAGAAATAGTGAAAAAAGGACTTTTTTACACTATTTTGAAAAAAAATTGCCAAAACGAATTAACTGTTTTCTATGTTTTAACTTATAAAAAAATGAATATTTAATACCTTTTTGGAGTAAAAATCAATAATGAAGATTTTATTATCCGCGAATTAATAGTAAAAATCAATGTCTTGCATAGGGTATATTAATTTCAGATAAAATGTGAGTTAAATCAGACAGATGATGAATAAATTCCCCTTCGCAAGACTTATTAATGGAGGATGGGTAATATTAATGGAGAATGGGAGTAAACCGATAGAAAACATTGAAAAGTCGCAAAAAATAAGAACGAAAAAATCGCTGATTGAGACAAAAGCCAGCAAATCCAATCAAGCGATAAAATGCAAAAGAGAAAACCGATGGAAAATTTTAATTAAAATTCATTTGAAGCAACAATCAAGTTTATCCATTTATGATCTCACTATTAGTAGAGAATTAAAAAAAAAACAAACACAAAAATAAAGCATTTGCACTTATACTGAATATATGTTGAAATGGTTTTTAAGGAAAATAGAGCTTTCAAAAATTCAGTTTCACTTGCTTGGAGTTTTGAATATTTTGTACTCTCAAATTCCGCATTTTTGCAACGCAATTTACTACAACTTTTAAAAAACGAAACCGAGAAATCTGCAACTCAATGCTGAATTTAGATCTAATAAATAACATAACTAAATATAAAATTGTCTTCGTAAATGGAGAAAAAGCTTTAATAAACGGCGAAATTGCTTTTTAACACAAAATAAATAATCGACAAATATTTTCACGAACTTTTATTAATTTCAATATTCAAATTCGGCTGCTCGAACGTTTTAGTTTCCCAGAGGAGCCAACTAATCATAATCACAGTGAAAGGATGTTGACGCCACAAATCGCCAGCAAATATTTAAATGGCTTTAGAGAGTTTAGTCGTATCACACACATACAGTAAAACGTATTTTAAATCTCAGGCTGAATATAAACGTCGATAAATTCATGAAATCATCTAAATCTCCTATTATATACAACGTTCATTAGACCATAAATGTCGGATTTGTTCAATAAATTTAAAATAACTTTATCGCTCGCTTCTTATATATTATTATTTCTATCGTTTTACAGGGAGAACTGAAATTGATTTAATTTTGTGCAATTTGACAAATATGCCTGGGTTTTTAAGATTCTGCAGAAACTTGAGTTGAATTGTTGGTTTATTTCAGCATGAACAAAATGTTAAATTGAATGTAACTTCAAGTCAAAGCTCAAGGCTCCAAATGCAAGTTTTCTGAGAAAGCAAAGAAAATGAGAACAAAACCACCTAAAAGAAATAGACAAGTCTTTGGGCTTAAATATCTACAGCTTTTCATATAAATTTCATCATCCAACCTGTTGCAATTGAGCTGATTAAATCGCACTAAGACTCAAGCTTTTCTGGTCAGAGCAGGGTTTTTTGTAGAATCTATCTTGAGGTTAATTAGGAAACGAAACGTATTAATTAGCATTATGTGCTGAGAAACGTGATTTAAAGAGGCAAAAAATAACTTTTTATGCAGAAGCTTTTGGTTGTCCACCTGGAAAAATGCGCCAATTGTTGAATCACCCAGTAAACGGAAAGAGCATGTAATATTTTATTGACAGGCAATAATTACCCACGCGCTTAAATGATTGTAACTGTCTTACAAAGGTTAAACATTTACATTTCAAAATTTGCCTTTTAAATATTTATGACATTGCAGCGAAAAAACGAATGGGGCCTAAGGCCGTTTCGGTTAATTCAGACGTAACGTATCAACAACATCCCAGCCAAAAACTCCGTAATTATTACTCGTATAAGGAAGGCGATAAATTCTCACTTTTCTGGCTGTTACCGAAAACCAACAGTTTACGTTTTCGGTCGCGTTGTAAAAATAGCCATAAATTAGCCGAAGAAAACATTATTGAACTCTTGCCTGGTGGTTATGTGAACCAGATCTCATGCATCATTGTGGCAGCTTAATTTTGCATAAATTAATGAGTCAAGTGGATTTTCGCAAATTTAGGTCAGGTTCTACTGTTGGTTCATCTTGCTTTTGTTCTTCGCTTTGTATGAATAATTTATTGTGCTTTTGCCCTACTTGTGCAACATTTAACTGTGGAAAAACACAAAATGCCTGATGCCTTTGAATTGAACCAATCTTACAAAAGCCAAAAATCTGATAAACATGCTCACACCAAATAGTAGCTTAACGACTCAATCAAAATATACAGGGCATTCAAAGAAATACTTCAGTCAAAAGGAAATTCGACACCCTGTAGCTTTTTAGATACTCTCATTTACTCTCTCATTCCAGTGAATTTTCTAAAATTTGATAAACGGCGCGTTTTCTAGAACATCTTGTATAATAGACAATGAATAAAATCGCAAAAAGTTTTTTTGGATGCATTAAAATATACAGGGATTTTGATGGGAAAAAATCATCCATTTGTGGGTCTATGCATCAGGCGGTTTATTGTTAAAATAAAATTGAAATCGAAAGAAACTGTTCGGATGGACACCACGAGCGCCAAAATGACTCGTATATATCACCGCCTTTATGTCATTATGCAAATTATAATAGATTCTATCTAAACAGTCGGCGTACAACAGAAGATATATTTAGCCTAATAAAAGAGCAAAATCGAGAGTTGCGCAAAGGTGTCTCCGGTTGCGTGAGAGAACTATTAAAGTCGCGTAACTAATTGGCACTAAAGTGTTCAAATAGTCCAGAAAACGCGCCGTTGTTAGTCCAGTCAAAAATCTTCATGTGACGATCATTCCAAGCCTTTGCAATTGCGTCCTCGAGC